TCTCAGTAGAGGCAGCAGCTCTTTCCGGGTCATTAATGGAAGGGTGGGGAGCAGGGCTCCCTGGTGAGTCTGATTCCACGCCCAACCGTGGACTTCTCTTCTTCTTCCTGCACCAGCCACCCTGTCGCCCAGCTCTGCTGCCCCACCCTGGACAGCTGGCAGTTCACACTAAAGCCAGCCTGACCTTCCTCTGGAATTCATACTCTGCCTTCACTCCAGGTCCCTCACCCAGGATATTTTCCCATTGATTTCTTAGAGAGAGTGGACGATGTGAGAGAAACACATTGATTGGTTGCCTCCCGCACTTGCCCTGACCCAAAGCTCTATCCACTGAGCCAAACCCACTAGGGCACTCTTTCTGTCCTAGTTCCCAGTAAAAATTCCAGAAACAGGAATTTGAGTTCCAGTTCCACTGTCTTTTTATTTAAATAATCGAAGCAACAGCCTTGGCACAGCAGAGGGAAGCCGGGTTGGGGTGTGTAAGGGGCGGCAGCGGTGTGGCCTGATTGGGGAGTGGGGTGTAGGCAGAGCAGTGACGGGGTCACAGTGGGCTCCCCGCACCCCTAAATCAGGTTCAGCAGTCACAGCTGCGGGGTTGGGCACTATACAGGAGACATCAGATAGCCATGTCTCACAAGTCCCAGAGACTCAGGGCGAGGGGCTCAGTCAGCCCCCTCAAGTGGCAGGGCCAGGGCATCCGTCAGGCGTCACGGGGCCCGGAAGGCATTTTCAGCAGCCCCGGCCGCTGCATTGGCAGCTGCGGTTCGCACCGCAGGGTTGGAGAAAACACCAGCAGCAAATTCTTGCTGGGCCTTCTGAAAGCTGGCACCTGTGCGGCGGTACAAGGAGTGGATCTGCAAGTAGAGGACAGAGATATCATAGCACATTCCAGCCACTGCTACTCTACTCCAACCCAACACCACCACCACCCCTCCCCATCCTGCTGCTCTAGATTTCCCTTCTTGGATCCCCTCCAACACACACACACACACACAAACACTCCCCCTACCTCAGAGGTCCATTAGCTCAGAACCCGCCCATCAGCCTGGCCCTCCCCAGTTCCTCCTGAATGTTCCACCCAGGCCCCTAGGGACACATGATCTCACTCTCCTGGCCCCACCTTCAACAGCCCCTCACCCGCTTTAGCATCACAATTCCCAGCACAGCGATGCCAGTGAAGAGCAGGGCAACCAGGAGCATGATCACAGCTACCGCCGTGTTGGTCCTCAGCACCACCAGAGCGGAGATCCAGCCACTGTGAGGAGGCACAAGGGTGTGGCAGTGAAGAGGCCTGCTCGGCTGGGTCTCTGTCTTCCCCTTCTCCACTGGTTATGTCGCAAACAAGCCCTATTCCCACCCTTCCATCGACTGTCACTCCTATTAGTCCGGCAGCTTTCTACGCACCACATTCCCAAGCTACATCCACTCTCTTCATAGTTCAGACCCACTTTCGGAACTGCCTCCTAGCTCTCCAAGCTCTTCCAGACATCCTCACTCTAAATAGACTCTCTGGCCCTGGCTGGATAGCTGTTGGTTAGAGCATCAAGGTTGTGAGTTCGATCCCCAGTCAGGGCACATACAAGAACCAACCAATGAATGCATAAATACGTAGAACAAGTCTCTCTCTCTAAAAGTCAATAAATTACAAAAAATAGACCCTTCTGTTGAAGATTCTCCCTCTGCTCTTCAACTGTGATTACATATACCTCCTCCAGGAAGCCTTCTCAGATTGACCTTCTTCCCCTCAACCTATGTCTGTGTAGAGTTCTGTCTGGGCTTTCTCTATCCTGGAAGTATGTCCTGTCTCTCTCCATAAACCAGCACCTCCCAAGGAGAAAAACCACATTTTTTTTTTGCTGAACAACTCCCCCCCAACCCCCTAGTACCCTGACTTGGTCTAGAGGAGTGGGAGGAAGGGCTGAGGGTAGATAGCAGCCTCACAGACCTGAACCCCCAACCTGGGATGCCAATGGCCTGGAGGACAAAAAGCACATCCTGGGCGAAGAAAATGAAGAAGAAAACGAAGAAATTGAATGAACTATCGCTCCTGCAAGGAGAAAAAATGGGGAGAGTGGGAGAATTAGTGCTGGAGAAGCAGATAGTGGGGGTCCATTCAAACTTCCCCATCACCCCAGCCCCCAACTTACCGGAAAGCCTTATACATGGGGCGGTACCAGCAGACGAAGGAGCAGGGAGTAAAAAGGATGATCCAGAGGATAGACAGCCCAAAGCCCGTGCCGTTGTTGGTCTCCACACAGAAGCTGGCAAGGCAGGCGAGGAAATTCAGGAGAAGAGCCAGAGTGCTGCCTAACAGATGGAGGGACAGGATGATGGCTCTTTCCGACCGCAATGAAGGCTCCTTCCCCTATAAGCCCGCCCGGTGACCCGCACCAAATTGGCAGAGAAGGAAACGAAGACAACATCTGCCTTTACAGAGTCCTCAACAGGGGAGACAGAACGAGCAAATCTCAATCATGAGTAATCAATCCCCTTTGGAAAGACAGTTAAAGGATTTAGAGCACATTTATGCATGAGGACAAGGGAAGGTGAGTGGGCAAAACCACGCATTTGCTAGAAGGCTGGAGAATAAGTTCTAAATGGTATAAAAGGAATAACCCAGGAAGATCCTAGAGAAATTAGTCTTAAACTCAAATATTAAAGAGCGGCAAAGTGTCTAGTTCTAGGTGAGTGGGCTCCAGGGCAGGAAAGATGTACAAGTTACTACCTGTACTCTTTCTCCAAAAGGGCTCTTTACTACTCACACATCCAGAGATAGTACATGGTGGATACTGTCTTCTGAAATTCTTGTGGGATCTCCATGGAGATGTCCTGGAAAAAGCAGGGCTGAACTGGGCAAAAAGAAGGCAGAGGGGGCCAATTGTTCTGTCGAGCTGAAAGGCACAAAGAGAGCAGAAGTGAGGCAGAGACCAATGAAGGAATCACTCCCCCTCCCACTCCAGGTCCTCTATTCTATCTCTAATTTGGGGTCCAAGGAGATGGAGAGAAATAAAAATAATGAGGATCACTATTTACAACTTTTAAGCACTGTGCCAAGCACTTTGTATAGATGATCTTATTTAACTCCCACAACAATCCTGTCAAACAGGTACAGACAGTATTTTCATTTTACAAGTGTGGAAACTGAGGCACTCAACATTAATAACTTGCCTAGGAGCTCACTATGATTAATAAGCGATAGCGCCCAAATTCAAACTCACAATTTGGCTCCGGTGCCCAAGCTCTCAGGTTTTTTTTTGCTTCTTAGAAACTGTCAGATTCCCTCCCCACCCTATCAAGGACTCACTTACTAGCTTTGCCCCCCAGGGCAGCATGCTGCAACTCTCGCTCTCTGCGGTCCAACTCCTCCGCCTTCCTGTTGAGCTCCTCTTGCTTCTTTAGCAGCTCTGCTGTGGCTGCTGCAGCGGAAGCCTGCCCAGTACGAGCAGAGAGATGTGAGTCCTGGGCCCCAGGGCTGGCCCGACTTCCCAACCACCATCCACACACCTCCTTTACCTGGGAGCTGTAGGAACCATAGTTCTTGGGTTCTGTGGGGCTGAGCTTTCTCGAGGACTGCGAGGGAGCTGAGGGTGGAGGCAGTGGGGCTGGGGCAGGGGCAGGAGGCTCGTAGGCTGATGGTGACTGTTGGGTTTAAAAAGACCTTACAGATCATCTGGTCCCTCATAACAGAGGAATCTAGAGTCAGCCTGAATACCTTTTGACCCCAAACTCATTACCTAGGTAGCAGCCCCTCCCACAGTTGTTAGAAAGCTAGTTCTTATGTTTGTCAGAGAACTCCTTTACCATCAGCAGCAGCCCCCATCACCCCTCACATCAAATTCCTTAGCCAGAACTAAAGCACTCATCTACATCTACTTCCGTAACTTTTAAAAACTCTATCTTTCCTGTTCCAGTGAGACATATATGTCTAGTTCTCCTCATTCCTTGCCTTCTAATTGCACACCTAAGCAGAGTCTGTTTTCTCAATTCCAACCAGCTGCGTACTTTATTTTTTTTTTCAAAGAAGCCTCCCCAGACAGGGCCTTGGTTATGGCCCGCCAGGCTCCATTGGATGGATCGTGAGCCCTGGTGTCTCCAGAAGAATGAAGCATCCCGTGGCGGCCTGGCCGCTTTGTCAGGAGCTAAGGTCATGGTGCTTGCTTCCTCCTTCCTTGGCATGCAGAAAAGGCCCCTATACCCCGACAGAGTGGGCTCACTGGCAAGCCCTCCCCTCCCTTGCAGTCCTGTGCTCTCAGAATCTCACCTCTCGGGTCTCAAAAGGGTTGTAGACGTCAAGCGTGGCATACTGCGGGCTCGGTCGGTGCTGGATCACAGCTGGGTCCTGCGGGCAGAGACCAGGGGCTCAGCTGGCACCTGATACCTCACAGGGAACTCACAGGGGCCTCTTCACATTGCCTGTGGCTCCAAGGGCTGCACCTCGGGGGCCACGCTGTGGTCCCAGCACTTCCTCCAAATCCTTCACCCCTCACTGCCAGGACCAGTTTCTTACAGGGACAGGGCCCGCCCCCAGGGTGCTCACTGGACTGGAGTCACCGTCACCCTCACGTGGCGGCCCTTCCAAAGATCAAATGTCACGAATGGGAGTACAAGTTAAGCCCATCCTCCAGAACCGGGAAGTCAATCCTGTTGCCCAAAGGAGGCCGGCGGAAGTCACCTGAAAAGGGTTGTCAAGTTCGCCGGGCTCGGCGAAGGGGTTTCCACCGTCTGTGTTTTGAGCCATAGTTGCAACCG